CCATGGACAGAGGAGCCTGGTGTGCTACAGTCCATGGGGTCTCAAAGAGTTGGACATGGTTGAGTGACTAACACTTTTACTTTTTCTCCTTCTAACTTACGGTACCAACATGGAGAGCTGTTCCTTTTTTTTCTTTTTTGCCCTCTATCTTTTGGCTGTGGCATGTGAGATCTTAGTTCTCCCACCAGGGATCGAACCTGTGCCCCACCCATTGGAGTCTTAACCACCTGGACTGCCAGGGCAGTCCCCCTATCCCTTTCTTAAAGGCCTCTACCTCCTCACAGAAGATCTTCCCATCCGTTATCTCATGCTTGGTTGAAGTAATATGATTGAGAAGAAGAGTGCTCTAGAAGAATTGTTCTTTCCAGGTATCTGAAGCTTATTCCTTTGGATACACAAGCTTTGCAGGGAAAAGACCCATTTTCAAAGGAATAATCTCGAAAATGCATGGCAGTCACTTCTCTGACTTATAGAAGAGCACGTGCTTTTATGGGTGCCTTGGGTGGGTCCCCGTGAAGAGCAGCTCTTGTCACTTGTTTCTGGGTGACGGGAGGCAGGCAGAGGTTGTGGGGGCCCTTTACCCAGAGAAGGCCCAGTGCGGGTGGCGGCGGCTCTGGGCCCCCACTGGGCCTTAGCAGGTGTCCCCCCCACCACCCACCCTGCGCATCCTACCTCTGCTCTTTCCAGTTCCTTGAGCTGTCGCCCAGCAAGCAATAAACATTTCCTGGTGATGCTGGAGAGCCAAGCTTGTTAAGTCAGAAAGTTTGAGCTTATACATCATTCCAACTGAAAAGCTTCCCAGAAGGCCCTGCAGCTCTCCCTCCTGGGAAGCCAAGCACAGACACTCAGTGACTGTTATTTTCCTGCCATCAAAGAACGCTTCTATTAAAAAAAAAAAAAAAAACCCACTTTTTATTTTTTTTTTCATTTTAAAAAACCCACTTTTTAATAGAATTTTTCACACCCCCACACACAAATCAAGAGAATCGCACACTGAAGCCCACATCCCCTTCACCCAGCTTCAACCTGTATTCATATTTTGCCAATCTCGTTTCTTCTCTGTGGTTCCTCCACCCTTATTTCTGGTTTTGTTTCTGCTGGAAAATCTTCAAGTGAATCTCAGGTTTCCCATAATTGTACCCGTAAATATTTCAGTATGAATCTCTAAAAAGATAAAAAGATATATAAGGCATAATCACAATGCCCTGATTCTACCTAGCAAAATTCAGAATGTTCCAGAGACCCGGGAGCCAGTTGTACCTCAGCTGGTGGTGGAGAACTGTGGTCTTCTGATGTTAGATTTCCTAAGGTTTTTTCAGGACAATCAGTGAAACCTTTTTACTTTGACGTGATTTCAAACTCACAGAAGGATTGTAAGAATAGTACAGAGAACTGCCGTACGCTCTTCATCCATATTCCTGAAATGTTAACATTTTACCGTGTTGGCTCTATCCTTCTCTCTATATTTTTTTCCTGGATCGGTGGTATGTTAAGAAAATGATGTCTCTTTATTCCAAAAGTGCTCTTATGTAACCAGTTCAGTTCAGGAAATGAATGTTGCTCTGGTGCTATTATCAAACCTACGGAGTTGATTGAGATTTTCCCAGCTTTCCCAGTGATGGCCTGTAGGACAGAAGAAAACCCTGGGTCAGGCTGGCTGTCACATGTCTTTGACTTTCTGTAGTTCAGAACAGTCCCTGAGTCTGTCTTTGTGTCTTGTAATGTTGACATCCTTAGAAAGTTCTAGTCAGCTATTTAAAAAAAAAATTTTTTTAATGTAGACAATTTTTTAAAAGTCATTTTTCATTTTGTTACAATATTACTTCTGTTTTTATGAGTTTGTTTTTTTTTTAGTCCCCTGGTCAGCTTTGCTGTAGCATGTCCCTCAATTCAGGATTATCTGCTGTCTTCTCGTGATTCAGTTCAGGCTATACTTTCTTGGCAGGAAAAGCAGAGGGTCATGTTTTGTCCTTCCCAGTTAATCATAGGAGACGTCTTTTGCCTATTTGTCCTATTAGTGGTGCTAATTTGATTGGTTGGTTAACATGTAATTTGCCAGGTTTCTCCACTGTAAAGTTATTATTTTTCCTCCTTTGAAATTAGTATCTTGTGAGAGATACTTTCAGACTATGTCTATATGATGTTGCTTCTCAGACTCTCCTTTCCCTAATTTTAGTATTCACTGGTGATTCTTATTTGAATCAATAATTATAATGTGGTCAAATGGTGATTTTTTTCTAGTCATAACATTCCTTTTAATTAATTAGTTGAATTTCTACTATAAGGAAGAATTTTCCCTATCTATACCAGTATGAACTCTTTACTCTTATTTTTTTAATAGGCTATACTCTTATATTTTTGTTATTCTAATGCTCAAATTCTCCAAGATTTAGCCAGTGAAAGCCCCTCCAGGCTGGTCTTTACGTCCTTTGATCATGTCCCCATCATTCTCTGATCACTTCTTTACTTTCTGGCATGACAAGATGTTATAAATTCATCATTTTCCTGCCCCAGCTCTGAAATCTGCCATTTCTTCAAGGAACCCTGAATACACACACCATCCCCCCATCTTCCTTTCTTCCTTTCTCTCTTTTCTCTCCTCCCTCCCTCCCTCCTATCTATCTATCTATCTATCTATCTATATCTGTCTGAAGCTGGGATGGGTTCTGTGGTCTTCTTAGGTAGATTTCCTAAGAAAACAGGCTTCCTTCTACTCTTATTCTTTCTTATACAAAGAGAAACCTGGTTCCCCTCATTTCCCACATATTTACTTAACAGGTTTAATCCTTGGGCATTCAGAAAGTCATTTCAGATTTGCTAACTCACATCGCTGTGGGAAGGAAGCCTACTCACTATGGTCAAATATTATTTAAAGTTCGTTTTGTCTTTAGCCTAAAGGACAGAGTCGAAATCTTATGTTCAGAGTTCACTATTTTTTTGCTGCCTGTGCTATTTGGTTGCCCCCTGGGGTATCAGGTTCTTCAGAACTATTCTGCTGAAATACTGTTTCGTTCATTTGTTTCTGTTTGTATTCCATCTTAGAATTTTCCCTATCCTTATTTATTTCTTCAAGTGTAAGAATCATGAACATGATGCCCCAAACCAGAACTGTGCAAAAATTGTGCTCAGATAAGTGCCCCTCCCTGTGCACACACACTCCACGATTGTTCTATTTCCACCCATTCCTAGTGCCCTGGAGGTCAGGGACCCCCAGCCTACGGGCTCTAATCTCAGACGATCTGAGGTGGAGCTGATGTAATAATAATAGAAACAAAGTGCACAACAAATGTGCTTGTTCAGTCACTCAGTCGTGTCCGACTCTTTGCGACCCCATGAACCGCAGCACGCCAGGCCTCCCTGTCCATCACCGACTCCCAGAGTTCACCCAAACCCATGTCCATTGAGTCAGTGATGCCATCCAACCATCTCATCCTCTGTCGTCCCCTTCTCCTCCTGCCTTCAATCTTTCCCAGCATTAGGATCTTTTCAAATATGCTTAAATAAACCTGAAATCATCCCACCCTTCCTGGGGGGGTCTGTAGAAACATTGTCTTCTACAAAACTTGTCCCTGGTGCCAAAAAGTTTGGGGACCACTGCTGTAAGTAACCAATCTCAGTAGTTTCTGGTGTTTATCTTTGCACAGATAAGCAGATAGATGTGTTTTTCCTTCTTGCCCCTTGTTTTCTATACAAAAGACATAATACTAAGCATGTTTTAGACTCTCCTATACGCTGTCAATGGAGGCAATGGCATCTCACTCCAGTACTCTTGCCTGGAAAATCCCATGGAAGGAGGAGCCTGGTAGGCTACAGTCCATGGGGTCGCTAAGAGTTGGACACGACTGAGCGACTTCACTTTCACTTTTCACTTCCATGCGTTGGAGAAGGAAATGGTAACCCACTCCAGTGTTCTTGCCTGGAGAATCCCAGGGATGAAGGAACCTGGTGGGCTGCCGTCTATGGGGTCACATAGAGTCGGACACGACTGACGCGACTCAGCAGCAGCATACGCTGTCGAAAAATATGCTAAGGCATCTATGACTTGTGTTTAATTCTTTCTTGCATTGTCTTGTCATTTCCTACATATTCCTAATGTCCTGTGACTTACAAAACTGAGGGGAATCCTAAATTCACTGAGGGGAAACTGTCTAACTACACAACCCAGGGGTTGGTTTTGAAAAGTGACCTTTGTCTTCTGCCAGACAAGCATTCTCAACTACCAGTCCTAGAGGAAGCTCCAAGCCCGGCAGGGATGGGAAAGACCACACCCGAAGCCAAGATGCTTGCTCAAGGAACAGTCAGAGGTCCTTTCCTATGAACAGAGTGGGATGGCCAGAAATAAAATAACCAGTGCCTGGAACAGCAACTTCATGGATTTTTGCACCTTTATAGAACCTAAGAGTCAAGCAGACAGTGTTTCTGCACAAGGTTGCCACTGCCACTTAAAAAAAATTTTGTTTTTTACTTTTTAAAAATATAAATTTATTAATTTTAATTAGAGGCTAATTATAATATTGTAGTGTATTTGCCATACATTGACATGAATCCGCCACATGTGTACATGTGTTCCCCATCCTGAGCACCCCTTCCACTTCCCTCCCCATCCCCTCCCTCTGGGTCATCCCAGTGCACCAGCCCCGAGCACACTGCCACTTTAAGACCCAACTTTGCTTGTTTTGCAAACAGCCCAGACCTCCTGAAAGAGGTCTTGGGGATGGGGAGGCCTCTGGGGTTGTGTTTTCCCAGCAGGTGACAGGATGCACCTGCTCAGAGCTCCAGCCTAGGGGGCCCACAATACAGCTGTTTTTTTCTCACCTTGAAGAGGCTAGATTTATTAATAGCAGGAAAGGAGGGGTGGAAGGAGGAAAGAGGAAGGAACAATTCCACATGTGTCCATGCACTTTAAGAAGGTCTCTTCCCAGGGGCTCATCACCTTTGGAAAAAACACAAGTGGAATTTAGTATTTCATCTGGCTGGGACTTGTATTTTGCGTTCCAGAGGGGTCTCTATGGAAGCCATTCTGAAACTCTTTGGGGAATACTTCTTTAAATTCTGCAAAATGTCTGGCTATGACCAGATGTTACGGACCCTGGGAGGAAACCTCACAGAGTTTATTGAAAACCTAGATGCTCTCCACAGCTACCTGGCACACTCCTATCAGGTAAGCCCATCTAGGTCAGAGCTCAGTGGCCCTGAGGGGAAGCAGGTGCTTCTAGCAGTCCTGGGTCATCTCGCCAGCTCCCCTAAGAGGCTGCAGTTGCCAGGGGTTTGTGGAATTCTTGGTACATGGCATCAGTGGGCTGAGTTTTCTTGGGGGATGAATGGAAAATGAAAACTTGATGGCTGCTTTTATAAATTGGCTGCAATGATCAAAGAAGCGCAAGCTGGAGAGGTAGACTTTGTGCTGGGGGACAGCCCCTGCTGATGGTAGCTGCTGGGGATTTGACATCAAGTCCGGAAGATTTAAAGACTGATCACACGGGAACAAAGACTGGGGACCAGTCAGGTTTCAGGGGATTTGCAAAACCTCTCCTCAGGTTTCCTGGCCTGGAAGGAGCTGATAAATAACTTGTGCAGCCAGATTCATCTATTCATGTATTAGACGCAATGTCTTGACAGGGCCAAGAGCCGGAATCGGATACCACCCAACTCTGACTAACCCATGGCGTGACTGCCTGAGGTGCTAAACTGATTTCCCTACTGGGATCTGTCCTGCTGGAGTTCAGTTCTTGGTTTTCTTGTTTGTAGGCATCGGTGGAAATTTAAATGGCCAGACTCATTTTTCCTTTTTTAAAAAAAGAAAATGCTGTATTAAAGAGGCAAAGTGACATTTGCACATGTCATAATAATAGCTTATTATTTTATATAAAAAGAGTTGATGTTTGTTTTTAGGGCCCTTTACAGTGCTAAGCTTTTTCTTCACCATTTCTATATTGAATGCTCAGACCACTCTTGAGGGAGTTCCCCGGTGGCTCAGTGGTACAGAATCCGCCTGCAGTGCAGGAGATGAGGGTTTGATCCCCGGGTCGAGAAGATCCTCTGGAGAAGGAAACGGCAAGTCATTCCAACATTCTGTCTGAGAAATCCCATGGACAGAGGAGCCTGGTGGGCTATTCCACGGGGACGCAAAAGAGTCAGACATGACTTAGCGGCTAAACAATAATGAGAGAAGCAATAGACTAGATAGAACTTCTCTGGCGTCAGTGAGGACATTTTGCACATAATGAGATAAATAAAATATATAAATGTTATATCAGCTGAAATAAAATGTATGCAATGATATCTGACAGATTTCCAGGCAAAAGATTATAGATTATCTCATTAGGCAAAAATACAATAAGATAAAGCTGACTTTTTCTTTATGTCTATCTCTAGTAATTTGGTAGAATCTTTAGGCTTGTATTTCTGGTTTTAACTGTGCCATTAATCTTGTTATTTTTTAGCTGACTTTCATTTGAGTGCCAATTACGAGACAGATGTTGGGCTCAGCAGTATATAAACACTGAATTATCCTCTTACCCCTAAGATTAGGCATTCCTGTTTTTCCCATTATACAGATGATAAAACTGAGGTCCAGAAGGAAACTGTCCCAAATCGCCCAGGTTGTAGGGGCTGAGTCAGGACCCAACCCCAGGTGTGTCTGTCTCAAAAACAATGTTCTGTTTGGCTTCTCAGTATTTTCCCATTGCCCTGATTCTCCACTCTTATAAAACCACATTTCAAGTAAAATATAAAAGCACAATCTCAATATTTAGAGAGTTGGAGACATGACCAGAAGGATTAAAACACCAGCTTCAAGAACTGTGTTTAGGAAGTAGCTGAGGCTTGGGTGCAAAGTGAGGGTAGAAATGGTAGCAAAAGCTTGTGTTTCATTTCAGTCCTTTTGCATTCTATTATTATTGTTATTTTTCACTAGGTAGGATGTGGATATAATTTTTAAAGTAACTTTTTTCTGTTTTATCATATTTTTACATTGTGCTGCCTCAAATCTTCTTCAGATTACTCAAGCCCATCCATATTCAGAGCATGCCCATCCATACTCTATGTATATGCTTTTGGAAAGATAGATAAACCGTCACTTTAACTAGCACCTGCTCTTTACCTCCTTCTGACTCTCTCACCCCCACCCCCCACTACCACCACCACTATGGAAGAGAACAAAAATCTCAGAAGGAACCCACTTCCTTAATCTCTTCCCTCACTCAGGCCAAAAGCTGTGAACCCGGGTGCTGAGATGCTTACTACCCAAGAGAGCAAGAAAAGAGCTTCTCTCAGGGATTCCCCTAGACATCCTCCCCCCCAAAAAAACACCCACAATTTTTCACACATCCCTAGGGATTATCCTGACATCCTGGCACCATCTATCGTGAGATGGTACATACTTGGATGTCAACATTTATTCCCAGAGCAAGATGGTCTTTTCGGATGCAGCCTTGATTTTTCAGATGTGCAACACTGCAGCACAGGTGGCCTTACATTTCCAGAGCAAGAGATGAACTTTTCTCCACTTGCCAGTCCCTCCAAGCTCCTGATCATTCAGACTGAAGATGCTCATGGTCACTTGGTCACAGACCAAGCACCCCTTGGAGTATGCATAGAAGCAGCGTGGCATGGTGGAAAGACTCATTTGGGGGTCAAGAATTTCTACAGTGAATCTGGCCTTAACCTCCCTGAGCCTCAATTTCCTCCTCTTTGCACTTGGCTTCCCTGGTCCCTCACTGGTAAAGAATCCTTCTGCCAATGCAGGAGACATAGGTTTAAACCCTGGGTCAGGAAGATCCCCTGGAGAAGGAAAAGGCAACCCACTCCAGTATTCTGGCCTGGAGAATCCCACAGACAGAGGAGCCTGGTGGGCTACAGTCCAGGGGGTCACAAGAGAGTTGTGCATGACTTAGTGATTAAACAACAACAGCAACAATACTTGCATATAGAGTTGGTTAGGTGATTAGGGGCTAAAAAATCGTGGGTTTTTTTCGGGGGAGGGGGCAAGGCTTTATCGGAGCCCCTACTGCAGCAGGGGAGGAAGGCATGGCAACTCACCCCAGTATTCTTGTCTGGAGAATCCCACGGACAGAGGAGCCTGACGGGCTACGGCCCATAGGATCTCACAGAGTCAGACACCACTGAACTTATTAACACTGAAGAAGGGGAGAGCAAGAACAAATAACAGGTTCCCTTGCTTGCCTGCTCCCTAAAGGGAGGAAGGCTTATTCCTCATATGAGGTGAGGGTAGGGGCGTGGCCAGGGGTCAAGCTGGGGGCCTGGCTTAGGCGTTTTGCCCACCCCTCTGGTGGTGTTGAGTGCAGGGGCACACTCAGGACTCTGCTTTTGCTCCTGACACCCAGTTTTTGCTCCTGGCTCTTCAGAAGTAGCAGTAGGGGATTTTTGGTCTCTTTGTATCTTTTGTCCAGAATTTGCCCCAACCGCTTGCATGCACGTGGTTATTTTTAGCCCCATACACTTTCTTTGTATTTTGTTCCTTGAGGAGGGGTGTGTATAGGTGCAAGCATTGCAGCAACTACAGCAAAGGGTTCCAGCCTGTCTCATTCCCCTGGAGAGACTCTATACCCTTGTTCTTAGGGGTATGGGGCTGGAGGTCTTTTCTTATGAAACTTCTTCCTGCTAGACAAGAGTTGAAGACACTAGCCTATCATAGAGGTGTAGAAAGTTCCTCCCTGACTGTTCAAGGACCTGTAGGGACCCAGGCCACTCTCCACTGGATGTGATTGGAAGGGGTTTGGGGATACAGTTCTATGTGACGTGATGAGTAAGTACTGTTGCTTCACAAAGTCTCAAGAGCATAATTTAGATAACCTGTATCCACCAGGAAAAATGTGCTGTGTCTTTTAAACAGGAGATGAATGCACCATCCTTTCGTGTGGAGAGAGGGGCAGAGGGGAAGATGCTTCTCCATTACTATTCTGATAGAAGCGGTCTGTGCCACATTGTACCAGGTATGGGGATGGCTTAACCAGACCCAGAGCTGTGAGGTCTATGGAGTAAGGATGTCTTTCCCCACAGATTCCCCAGGATGACTGAAAGTCGGCTGTGGGCAGGAAGTTCAAGTCCCATCTCTTTTGTAGCCTGACTATTTGCTATCTTGACCATAACTCCCAAAGTTGAGCCTTAAAATAAGTTTCCAAGTACCAAACAAAGGACTGATTTTCATTTTCATTTTGGCATTTTCATCATGTGAGTTTTCATGTGATTGTGATAACTCTGCATATTATTTTGTATCCTTTTGTTGTATTCAGTATTATAGAAAAGGCATCCTTTCAGATTTTCACAGTCTTTAATGTTTTTCAAGATTTTGTCCTGGTTGTTGTTGCTCTGGATCATTTTTAAAGTCTTTACTGAATTTGTTACAATATTGCTTCTGTTTTATGTTTTGGTCTTTTGGCCAAGAGGCATCTTAGCTCCCAGACCAGTGATCAAACCCACACCCCCTGCATTGGAAGGGAAAGTCTTAACCACTGGGACCTCCAGGGAAGCCCCTTACAGAGTCTTTAAAGCCACATCTTCAATGGCTGAATCATATTCTATATCATAATTAACTAGTCACCTGTTGTTGAATTTTCAGTGGCTTCTGCTCTTTTGCTATTGCAAACAGTGCTGAAATGAACATCTTCATGCATGCTTTTCTGATGTTTTATATTAAAACCCTGGAATAGAGTCCCAGAGGAACACTTTTAAAAACATGATAGTTAATACTTTTATAGTTGACTTTTTCTTATATTTTCTCTTTAGTTTGTTTAATGAGTTACATGCCTTCCTGGAAAAAACAAACCAATGAATAGATGCCAAACTAGAAATAAGAGTGGTGGGGATACATGTAGTGCCTAGTTATAGAAATCTCCACCTTTAAGTTATTATTTTTAGTGTATTAATCTGTCATGTGCTGCCTGCTTTGACACAGGGCCTGGGCTTGGTGGACTCTGGAATATTTATCAAAAGTTGTATAACTTGATTTGCTTTAAGATTTTGCATTCTGCCATCCCTCACCTGCCCTTCTGCTGCAGGGATCATTGAAGCTGTGGCCAAGGACTTCTTCGACACTGACGTGACCATGGACATCCTTGACGTGAATCAGGAGGAGGAGAGGACGGGGAAGAAGGAGCACGTTGTGTTTTTGATTGTGCAAAAGTCACACGGACAGATGAGAAGGGCAAAGCCAAAGGGGTCACAAGACGGTCAGGACAGCCAGAGAGACCAAGAGGTACTGGGTGTGCTGTGCTTTCAGAAAGCACAGTTTCTCTGTGGAGCGACCAGTCTCAGAACAATTGATGCGAAGAACAGAATCAACTGGACCTTCTAAAAGTGGAGTTAGGGCAGGGAGTTTCAGTGTCAGCCCTGCTGACATTTTGGACCAGATAATTCTTCATTATGATGGGCGGTCCTGTGAGAGTTTAGCAGTATCCTTGGTCTACTTGCTAGATGATAGTGGCACCCAGCTCTCCCCCCCATCCCAGGTTGTGGCAATCAAAAATGTCTCTGGGCCCTGCCAACTCTCCTCAGGGTAGGAGTGGAGAACAAAGTTACTGTTGGTTAGAACCACTGGGCTAAGGTCATTTGAATAAAAATTGGGAGGGTCTTTGGGAATGGACCTTAGCCTGGAACATTTTTGCCTGTTAAAAAAATATCAACGTAAAGGCCCTGAAATTTGGAGCTCGTGGCTTATTTTGCAATTCCCATGATGCAAATTGACCTTTCAAGTCCTAAGTGCCAATTTCTGCAGCTGGGGCCAGGCTGGGGGCTGGAGTGAACTCAGAAGCCTGCAATTGGCTGCCTTGATTGCAGCTTGTGGAGTGACTATTATCAGTTGAGGTACCATATCTATCAGGTGCATGGCTCTCTGTGTTCACAGAGCTCATAGGAATATCCAGAGAACTCTGATTCCTGGAGCACACCATGTTTGCATCTCAGAGTGTTCAAACCTTGCTTTGCTCACTGCAGAATCTTTACCCACAGGAAGAGAAGTCACCAGGTGATTTTCCTGTCACCAACACCACCCCCCCTTGAGATTTTATAAAAAGTTCTTGCTGCCTTTGGTGGAGAAACAGCATGGGGATTAATTGGATAATAGCCCTGGGGCTTATGAAATCTTGCTAAAGTTGACCTTGCATGGCCCCATTGTTCCTCTGGCCCCATCCTAGCCAAAGGGGTGTGTGCACCTCCTGTCACATGACCAGTCACATGACCAGCAGTGTACGCTTCTCTCCCTTCTATCTGCAGACCCCGGAGGCAGCTTTCCTTAGGATGAAAGAGAAATACTTGAGTGTCTCTACTCATGCCGTGAAAAAGTCCCGCTGGGAAGTTGTGAGGAACATAGTCATGTTCGAAAAAGGTGAGTGGGCTCTTCTCCTGACCTCAGCTCTGAGACCACGGTAATTGTTTCCTGCACACAAATGGGCCAGAACCTTTATCATCAGGATGCCACTGATTTCTTTTCCAACCATGGATTCATCTGGTTTACTAAATCAATTGAAAGCATTTCAGAGGAAATAATCTCAGGGAGAGGGGATATATGTATGCATATAACAGATTTACTACAGTGTACAGCAGGGTGGCTCAGATGGGAAAGGATCTGCCTGCAGTGCAGGAGACCTGTTTAATCCCTGGGTCTGGAAGATCACCTAGAGAAGGAAATGGCAACCTACCCCAGTATTCCTGCCTGGAGAATTCCTTGGACAGAGGAGACTGGTGGGCTACAGTCCACAGGGTCGCAAAGAGTTGGACACGACTGAGTGACTTTCACCCTACCTTGTGACAGCAGAAACTAACACAACATTTTAAATCAACTCAGAAAAAAACAAAACAAAACAAATCACCATTTCCTGAGAAGCAATGGGAAGCAGATACAGAAGGTTAACCGCTTAGGGATAGGGTACAAGCTGGTGGGAGACCCACCTGGCGTGAATCCTGAGGATGGTCAGTGATCTCTGCAGAGCTTGGATTTGGTGGGCATGCTTCATAGCTTCAAAACACTAGCTCTAACTTGCCTTCCTTTGCCCCTTTCACTGGTGCTGGGGGTGACACGGGGCACAGTTTCCCTGGCAAACAGGGGAAGCTGCTGGAGGGGGGACAGGACTGAGCCCCTGTTGGTGACTGTGTAGAAGAGGAGGCAGATGAATGCTGATGTATTATCAATAACAGGAGTTTGTCACAGCTCCTCAGGGTTTCGGGACTGCAAGGCATTTCTGGCCCGGAAGTCTGTAGATAAAAACCATGATGTCCAGGAATGTGAAGGACACTGTGTCGGGAGCCAGGATCACAGAGTTCTGGCCACATCCCTGGGGAGCCTAAGTGCTCCATCTTCCACCTGTGAAGCGAAGGTATCAGGCTCTCGAAGGCACGCCCTCGCTGATGTCTGGTCTCATGATCAGCACCTAAGACCTGAGTCAGAACAGGGGGCTGGAGACCCGCGGTCATAAACCATGAGTCGTGATGACATGTGTCTGGGAGAAGATCAACCGCGCTCAAAGGACTATATTTTGAGTCCTTCAAACCTCCAAAAGCGAGTCAAACATGCAATTGACATCCTTTGTCTAGGAGATTTTCATATCAAAAAGGCTCCATTTCGAATCTCCACGCCCTGCCAAATAGGGCTGTTGGATGAAATTTTCATGTGCCACCCAAAACTGTCAGTCTGCAGAGCTCCATGGCAAATGTCTCTGATGCCGGCCGGGCGCGCGCGCTGCGCTCCGCGAGCTCATTGTCTGGCTGTCAGCGATTCAATGCCGGCCCTGTTTTCATGGCGAGACACACTCAATTGGCCCAGGAACCCTTGAGTGGCAGGCAGAAACTTGGCAGGGGGCAGGGGGGCGCTTCTCAACCTGGTAGCAAGTTTTCTGTTTGTTTTAATTTGGAAGCAGAATTGCCGTGGCCATCTGGAGATGCTGAGGGGCAGGACTGCACTTTGCCGGGAAAACGTTTGAGATAGTCTCTGGGGTTGGTGGCCCGAGTGTTGTCTGTGAGTGAATGGGATTCTTTTTCTCCATCCAGGGCATCTCAGGGACACCTTTGAGCCAATTTATCCCAAGCGGCTGTGGATAGAATCGAAGACCTTCTGCACTGCTTTTCCCTTCCATGTGGTATTTGATGAATCAGTAAGGGGGACTTGTCTCTCTTGAACTGGGGATAGGCTGGGGAGGGGAGTAAGTCTCATAGTCTTCAACAGCTGGTGGTGACTTTCAAGTCCCCAAGGAGTTCCCAGGGTTTGGAAGGCTAGGATTTAGCCTGGCAAGACTGCTACCTTCCTTTTCATTGTGGCATCTTCCAGAAACCAGAATGCAGCATCTTCTTGATGGATGCAGAAGGGAGCAGTTCCAGTGGGTTTGAACCAGTGGGTGCATGAGCAAATTTGCCATTAGAGAAAATAGAAGGGACACTGAAGCCACTCCAGCAAGAGACAAAAGCCCACAGCAGCAGTGGCAGGGTGGGATTCTAAATGTGACCACTCCCCATCTTTGCAGCCACCATGGATGGCTGAGTTCCACCAGGCTTGTCTTTCTGCATCTTGAAGGAGGGGAGAGGCCTGTATCCACTGTTCTGTGGGAGGGGTGGTGGACAGTGACCATTTAAGTGTGGTCAGTTTCCTTGGATAAAATTGATTGATAAAATTGAATTATAAACTCATTTAAAGGGCAAAATAAATTTGGTCCAAAAATTGCCAGTCAAAAAATGCCTTCAGCCATTCTGACTTCCTCTGATATTTATGTGAATGCATATATATGTCACATGATCCCCTACCAGTAGCTGCTGGATACAGATTCTGTGATGTTTGAGTAAATATCACGTGAGGGTCATCTCTGGCTGCAAAGAATTTATGATCTGAGAAAATCAAACACCCCTGTGTGAAACAACTATACATTATAAAGCTATGTACTGTGACTTTCCCCCAATGCCATGAGGATATTAGTATTAATTATTACTGCTACTATTAACATTTAAAATTGTGGTCTACTTAAACACTCCCTTTCATTTTAGGTTTTGGGCATAGAAATAGACAATTTAATGACTCTTATTCCATATGGTTAGGTTGATTTCCATAGCCTGACAGAGTGAAGTTAATTTAAGTTTTCCTGGATAACCTGGGTTGGCATTGGACTTTGTATGTAAAAGACATAGACTTATTTTGTTTTTTCCTTCTGTGTGTTCCCTGGAGAGGTCAGTGAAAGGTGACCGCATCTCCATCATGAATTCCTTTCTTCATCCTGATCTGGGTGTCAGGTCCAAGCTACAGAATTTTCTCGTTCCTTTATTAGTTAATTCCAAAGAGACAGAGAAAAAGACAGAAGAGAGGACTAAAGCTAGGAATGAACTATTATCCCCATGGCCAGCTTTAACCTCTTTCTTGTGAGTCAAGAAATGAATGTGCTTTCAGGCACTCCCATGATGTTCTTTTCTCTTTCAGAGGTCAGCTGCAGGTTTGCCTTTTAAATGTTTCATTACCACCATGGTATTTACTCCATTCCCTTCACCCCTAGCGAGTCACAAAGCATGGTGGGGTGTGCTAGTTCTAGGGGAATGTTTATTGTTCAGGTTGCTGCCTCTTCTGCGGTCTCACGTGTGTCCCCTGCGGATAGCTGCAGGTCAAACAAGCTGGAGTGAGCATTCAGAAATATGTCCCAGGTCTCCAAACCCAGAAGATTCGATTAGATGAGTACTTCTCCATCGTCCATCCCCAAGTCACCTTCAACATTTTCAGCATCTGCAAATTTATCAACAGTCAATTTGTCCTGAAGGCGCGCAGGGAGATGTTGCCTGCAGCCTGGAGAAGTCAGCCCGTGCTCAAACTCCGAGGTAGTAACTTGCTCCTCCCAGTTGCTCTCTGCCCTGGGAGACCAGACAGAAAGGGAAGAAGCAGTTTTCTAATTTCCTCAAAATAGTGGGCTAAAAAGTGGGGGACTACTTTGACAGCAGCATATGTTTTTTTCCATTTGGCTTCATCTGGTAGCAATATATTTTATTTGTTCAAACCATGTCTAGTTTAGGCATAAAGGAACTCTGATTATATTTATATGTAATTATAAAGTTCTGGTCTCTGTTACCAGAATTTTCAGAATGCAGGTGGTACTATATGTACTCAAGTGATGGTCTGTCCTTTAAATGGTAACGTGATCGTCTGCCCTACTGTTACTAGGGCACACATTTTTGTTTTGGCTTTGTTTCAATTATAGCAAAATTTACAGAATGTGAAATTTACCATTTTAACCCTTTTTGAGTGTACAGTTCAGTAGTGGTAAGTGCATTCACAAAGTTGTGCAAACACCACCATCCATCTCCAAAAGTTAATCATCTTGCAAAACTGAAACTCTATGCTCGAGAAACACCAACTCATTGTTTTCCCCAACCCCACATCCTGACAACCACTACTCTGCTTTCTGTCTCTATGAATCTGATTAATTAAGGTACCTAATATAAGTGGAATCATAGTATTTGTCCTTTTGTGACTGTCGTTTTTCACTTCGCATAATGTCCTCAAAGTTCATCCCTGTTGTCACATGTCAGAATTCCCTTCCTCCTTAAGGCTGAATTATTATATTATTCCCACATGTGTAGACTATAATTTACTTATTCACTCATCTGTCAGTGGATCATTGCATTGCTTCCACTTTTTGAATAATGAATAATGCTCCTGGGAACATGGGTGTACGGATGTTTCATCGAGTCCCTACTTTCAGTTCCTTTCAGTATATATCCAAAAGTGGAATTTCTGGATCATATGGCAATTCTATTTTTAATTTATTGAGAAACTGCCATACTGTCTTCTATAGCTGCTGCACCATTTTATATTTCCATCAGCAGTTCACAAGGGTTCCAATCTGTCTACTTTCTCAAGGATACTTGTTCTTTTCTGTTATTGTTTTTTTTATAATAGTATCCTAATGGTTATGAAATGGTATCTCACCATGGTTTTAGTTTGCATTTCCCTAACAATTAGTGAGGTTGAGTGCCATTCCTATATATTCTTTGGAGAAATGTCTATTCAAATTATTTGCCCATTTTTCAATCAAGTTGTTGGATTTTATTGTGTTGTAAGAGTTCTTCATATATTCTGGATATTAACCCCTTATGATTTGCAAATATTTTCTCCCACCCTGCTGGTTTTCTTTTCACTCTGTCGATTGTATTGTTTGCACACAAGCTTTTAATTTTGATATTCTCCAATTTACCTATTTTTCCTTTTGTTGCCTATGGTTTTGGTGTCACATCAGAGAAATCATTGACAAATCCAACGTCATGAAGCTTTTCTTATGATTTCTTCTAAGGGTTTTATTGGTTTAGTTCTTACATTTGGTCTTTGACCCATTTTGAATTAATTTTTTTAACATGCCAGGGCTCACATACTTTGAGCTTTCTATTGGACTAGTAGGTATTGTAGGCATAAACACAGGCAGCGTGGTGGGGACATCTGAGAGGAAACTGACATGTTCTGGGAACCCTGATTGAATTTTAGAGTGGAATGATGGGAGAAGAGGCCGGTAAGATGAGGACTTGAGCTTTATCCTGTAGTTGGAGACATTTTTTACGTGTCTACCATGATCAGATTTGAGGTTTAGAATGGTCATTCTGGAGGCACGTGAAGGATGGACCAGACTGTTGAGAAGATGGAGCATGGAAGGCCAGGGGATGCTGCCCTGGAGAGCAGGTGGGAAGCCCAGAATGCTGAATGCAGCCAAGCGGTGAGTCTGGGGTGGTGACGGGGGAACAGATTCATGAGGGAGTTAAGGCAGAAACTGGTGACTGGATGTAGAGGTTAAAAAAGAGAATATTTGGGTAATTATTAGCTTTCTTGCTTAGGTAACTGGTCATAAATGTGTGATTAAGGAAAGATGGTATTGACAACTTGAGCAACTTTGTCAGTTTGGGTCACTGCTGTATCCTCTTCCATACCTACAGCAGTGTGCCCGAGTCATGGTAGGAACTAAAAATGTCTGTGATAAAAGAGTTAAGAAAATAGAGAAGATTTGTAGATGGGACTAAAGGTGAGCCCAGTTGCAGACATCCATGTATAAACACCTAATAGACAATAGTAAAAAAAATCATTGTAATAAGGACTGTTCAGTTCAGTTGCTCAGTCATGTCCGACTCTTTGCAACCTCATGGACCACAGCATACCAAGCCTCCCTGTCCATCACCAACTCCCAGAGCTATAAACTGTCACAATTTAGAGGGCAATTTGGCAATATGTATTAAAAATCTTGAAATGAGCATATTTTTGTGTAAGAATATATCCTTTAACAAAATAGCCACAATTATGCACAATGATGTGCTTCAGCGTTGTTCATTGTATATGGAATGATGAAATAGACATAATATACTCAATGTTAGCTTATTGCTTAAATAAAGTACAGTATAATCCATGTACTCCCAAACAATAATGCCTATCCATATTTAATGCTATGAAAGAATACCTATTATAGAATTTAAGTGAAAAATTGAGATTATACACAGAAGATGGCTGATAATCCCATTTTTTGGTAGTAAAAAGATATACCCCCAAATATTACCAGTAATTATCTGTGATGTGACTGTGGGTGATTTTTATAGTTTTCTTCCATTTTCTCGCATTTTCTGTAGTGAATGTCTACTGCTTTTATAAGAGAATAGACATTAATTGTTAAAAGTAATAGGTATCTTGAGTCCAGGAAACAAGGTTTTTCCATAAATTCACTGTGGGAGTGCAGCTGAGGTGCATTGATGCCAGCATCTAAGGGATGAGTGACAGTCCTAAAGGAGAGATGGAAAGAGGTAGGCGAAATCTAAGTGAAGGCAGGGTCAGAAAAGTCCCCAGAAGTGAGATTCCAGGAAGCAGGATTCGCTCTACGCCCTTCAATGGGCGAAGGGCTGAGCGAGGAAAAGGGTGTTAGAGAGGAAAGGTCGTTTGGAGGTCATGGACAGGAGACCCTTCAAGGTAAGAAAAGCAACCGTGGAGCACGCTGCCGTGGACAGAGCGGGAGTGGGGACGTGGAGACAGAAAGAAAGGATGGGACTTTGAGGACCGTCGGCGGACGGGGAGGAGCGCGCCTGAGGCGGCGGGCAGGGCGGGCCGTGGGGGCGACGGTCGGGGCGCCATGTGACATGCCGCCTTGTCCCTTCTCTCTCCCGGACGAAGGCCAGATGATCTGGATGGAGCCCCTGCGCTGCATGATATACCTGTGCTCCCCCAGGCTCCGCAGCCTGCAGGAGTTGGAGGAGCGCCGGATGCACCTCTCCGACATCGCCCCCCACGACCCCACCAGGGACCTCATTCTCAACCAGCAGCGCCTGGCGGAGATGGAGCTGTCCAACCAGCTGGAGAGGAGGAAGGAGGAGCTGCGGGTCCTCTCTACGCACTTAGCCGCGGAAAAGAAGAAGACGGAGGCCTTGCTGTACGCCATGCTACCTGAGCACGTGGCCAACCAGCTGAAGGAGGGCAGGAAGGTCGCCGCAGGTGAGGGGGCCCCGGGGGCGCCCGCTCTGACACCAGGCAGGTCAGGGTTTGAAGTCTGTCTCCATCCTTGTTAGCAACTGTGGTCTTGGGCTCATTACTTAAGCTCCATAGCCTAGCTTTCTTCTTTCTACCTTGAGAATAATGATACAGTGACCATATAGGGTTCTTCACCACAATTGGAAATGACGTGGTAGTGAAATGTCAGTGGCTCAGTCGTGTCTGACTCTCTGTAACTCCATGGACTGTAGCCCGCCAGGCTTCTCTGCCCGTGGAATTCTCCAGACAAGAATGCTGGAGTGGGCAGCCCTTCCTTTTTTCAGGGGATCTTCCCAACCCAGGTCCCCAGCATCCAGGTCTCCCACATTGCAGGCGGATTCTTCACCATCTGAGCCACTAGGGAAGCCGATACAGTCACGCTAAATAAGTAAATAAAGGGGTTCCCCTAAGGACCATTCTGGGAGAGCAAGCTTTTTCTAGAGGGAAGAAGGCCATGTTTATTCCAAACTCATAGTCAAGGTAAGGCACGTTGAGGGTAAACACTGCAGGGTGTTGTCCCTGGGACACGGGGTACATGGTGAAGGGGTGCCTGCTGAGTTCTGAGCGGGTGTACCTCTGTTAATAATCTCCCCTTCATGGAGGTAAGCCAGTGCCCACCCAGACCATCCTGACATCCCCCGGTGGTCTGCACATCTTGTTAAGCGTTTGTTTGCACTCTGTCTTCTTCCATAGACTAGGCATCCTTATGGGCAATGAGCCCTGTCTGCTTCATATCATATGATTCTACCAGCACGATGACCAGCTCATAACAGACATGCAACAGATGTCTGGTGGGTGGATGGTGAATGGTGATGCGGACCTGGCTCCTTCTCCCTGAGCCACGGGCAAATTTGGTTCCTAAAGGCTACTCGAATCCAGAATTAATAGACTTGTTATTCTACATCCTTGGCTGTCCCTGACACCTGGTTTATGTTGCAGGAGAATTTAAAACCTGCACGATTCTCTTCAGCGACGTGGTGACGTTTACAAACATCTGTGCTGCCTGCGAACCTATTCAGATAGTGAACATGCTGAATTCGATGTACTCCAAGTTCGACAGGTTAACCAGCGTCCATGAGGTCTACAAGGTAAGGCTGTGTGTGTCCGTGTGTGCCGGGGCAGGGCGCATACCTGGTGTTGGGTCTTCATTTTTCCTCTCCCCTCTCTGGTCTGGCGTTTGGTGTGGATGCCAGAGGGGATGGGAGAAAGAGCTAAAAATTTAAAATTTTCAAAACTCCTTCTATACTGCCCAATGCTAAGCTTGCCTTCAAGAGGCATACTGTTTTCCCAGAGAATACTATGCCTTCATTTCAGCAGCAAGTCTAATCTAAATGTGTATCTAATACATAGCATTATATGTGGATCTAATAGACAGCTTTGTCCTCTCTGGGACTTGCCTCTGCCAAAAGCAGAAAGAACATTTGGCTCTCTCATGGCATCTCCTGAGTCTTTTTTTTTTTTTTTAACCTCACCCTCCTTCATGCTTCTCACACCCATAGAAAATAACCACCAGCTTTTAATATGGTCCTTCTGTCAATATGTGTGTGTTAGTTGCTCAGTTATGTCCGACTCTTTGTGACCCCATGGACTGTAGCCCACCAGACTCCTCTGTCCTTGGGATTTTTCAGGCAAGAATACTGGAGTGGGTTGCCATTTCCTTCTCTGGGGGCAGGGGGGTGGTCTTCCCAACCTAGCCAACCTAGGGCTCAAACCTGGTTCTCCTGCATTGGCAGGCAGGTTCTTTACCAGAGAATGACCAAAAAAAAAAAAAAAAATGTAGTGTTTTATTTAGTGCATTAAGAGAATCCTCTGATTTCCTCATATTTCCCCCTTATAGGTGGAAACAATAGGAGATGCTTATATGGTGGTGGGGGGTGTACCAGTGCCTGTTGGAAGCCATGCTCAGAGGGTAGCAAACTTTGCCTTGGGGATGAGGATTTCTGCAAAAGAAGTGATGAATCCTGTTACTGGAGAACCCATCCAGGTAGAGAGCAACCAAGTTCTTTGCTTAATACCAGTTACCTCAACAATATAGTAGAAGTCTATTAGTCTGCTCAGATGGCTCCTCGGTATGTGATAGTAATTAAAATGGGTCATTTCTCCCAACTCAACTCTTCTCTTGCATACATTAAAGTAACAGAGATATTAGGGTGTTATTACCTCTACTGCTGCTGCTAAGTCGCTTCAGTCGTGTCCAACTCTGTGCAACCCCATAGACGGCAGCCCACCAGGCTCCTCTGTCCCTGGGATTCTCCAGGTAAGAACACTGGAGTGGGTTGCCATTCCCTTCTCCAGGTTATTGCCTCAGCTTCTCTCAGATTTGAGAAGAGGCTTCAGAGTTCGCGGTTATGCTGGGGTTAACGCAGGCTGCCTTTGCCCCTCACCCGGCCTTGTGGAGCTCCATCCTTAGGAAGCCAGCTCGTTTCCAATTCCTGCCTTTTTGCTAGAACATTTTCAACAAGTGGTTCAGGTTGACTAAACAGCCAACTTCTCTTCACTTAGGGAAGTTGTGTATCCGACATGCCGTCTGACGGGTTCGGAACTGAGGCTGAGGTGTGAAACTGCCTCCAGCCAGCAGGCCAGACACCATGGTGCCGTAAGATATTCACAATAGCTTTCCCTCCAGCACGTGGCCACGAGTGAGACATCTGCTCGCCTTTCTCACAGGAACACAGGAAGCTGCTTTTCCAAGTATGGAAGTTTGTTCACACTATAAAAGTTGGACGCTTTTGATGATGAAAAGTAAATGCCGTCTTCTATCTGCTCGGCTGATCCCAGTGGTCCCGAGGTGGTTTGGAGCAGAGTCTCTGTCCTCTAAAAATCGAGGTCCCTTCGCAGCTGCTGTCAATCAGATCTGTGCAATCAACTAAACAGCCAGCTAAAAACAAAGCCAACTATAAGATGGAGTAGGATTTTCCCTAGCGATCGCCCCTGTATGGGGGATTCTGAAATGTGCCACATTCACCATCACCTTAACGATTTAGAAGCTGAGAAGTACTGAAGGTACTGCAGGTACTGCCAGTGGTGTCTGTGGCAGTCTTCAGAGCAAAAGCTGGTCACGTCATGTCCATGATACCGGCCCATTGCAAACACACAGAGACAGCTGTTGTATAAAACCCACAATGTCATAAATAAAAAATCAGGAAGGGAGGTAATGAGAGAGAAGAGACAAGGTCAGAAATGAGATAAGTGTTTTGGTTAAAGAATTCTAATGAGAGCCATGCGCACATTTGTGCATGCTAAATCCTTTCGGTCTTGTCCAACTATGTGCGACTCTATGGACTGTAGCCCACCAGGCTCCTCTGTCCATGGGATTCTCCAGGCAAGAACACTGGAGTGGGTTGCCATGTCCTCCTCCAGGGGATCTTCCTGACCCAGGGGGTGAACCCGCATCTCTTATGTCTCCTGCACTGGCAGGCAGGTTCTTTACCATTAGTGCCACCTAAAAACCCCCAATGAAAGCCACTGAAGAATATGGAAAATACACTGCTGTGTAAATAGAGTGTCTGTCTGTTTGTGAAAGAGGCATGGCAACAGAAATGGTAATAGTGCTACACCAATATGATTGAAAATGAACAATGAATTCCTGGAAACTTGCATAGTGGACTTACCAAGGGGGGAAAAAAAGAGGGAAAGATGTTATCAATTCTAAGGATAGAAATAGGGAATAGGGACTTCCCTGGTGGTCCAGTGGCTAAGACTTCGTGCTCCCAATGCAGGGGGCCCGGGTTCAATCCCTGGTTAAGGAACTAGATCTCACATGCAGCAACTAAAGATCCTGTATGTGCAGCTGAGACCTGGCACAGCCAAATAAATAAATAGTAAAAAGAAAAAAAGAGAATAGTGACATATGAGCCTCATTAAATATCCACCAGAAACTGCATATCATGTGAGTTTATTTAAGGAAGTAGAGGAAAGGGCTGGAGATACCCTCTCCCTTAAGAGAATTGTGCTGCTACTTCTACAGTTTTAAAATTAATACTCATTGAGATCTTTCATTCTGTCACTTGTAAAGCCTATAATCCACATTTGCTGAGGTCACTCTTGCATGAAAGTAAGGTGCTTTAAAGGATTCAGAGAAAAGAGTTTAAAATCTTATTTTAAGGAAAAGAAAATCTGGCATGGAAAGATGAAAAGACAAGTAAACCTGATTGGGATGTAGACAGCTGCAAGAGAATTCTGTTTCCATATGCATGCTCAGTTGTGTCCGACTCTTTGTGTCCTCACGGACTATGGCCCACCAGGCTCTTCTGTCCATGGGATTCTCCAGACAAGAATACTGGAGCGGGCTGCCATGCCCTCCTCCAGGGGATCTTCCCGACCCAGGGAATGAACCCAAGTCTCTTGTGTTTCCTGCATTGAGGGCAGATTCTTTACTGCTGAACCACTGGAGTAGTTTTTTTTTTTTTTTTTTAAATCACATAGTAAAGAAATAGAGATGAGCCAAATTCTAGAAAGTGGCAAGACCTTTCAAGAGGATACCCATGATGGTTCTTCCCTAGGAGACAGCAGCAGAAATAAGCCACCAAAGGAGGCAAGATGAAACCTGCCTAAAGTTGAGTGACATTTTCATGGCCATCTTGGAGCTGGAATGACGGGTTAGAATCCCAAAGAGCTTGACTTTGATAAGTTCTAGCCACAGAGTCTCGACCCATTTACCAACATTTTCCCCACAGATCTTCACAAATGCATAGGTTCATTCAGTCAAAGGCTATGGATAGGGGAGGAGACCCGAGAGAGATCTCCAGCTCCAGAAGTATATGGGGCCTTCCCCAAACACAAGTTGCTGGCCCATGGAAGGGTACTGTTAGGGAAAGAGAACCCATGACACATTGCTCCAAGGTACATATGAAACTCATTTGTTGATGCTTTAATCCCTGCTACCTCATGAAGGTGACTGAATTGGACTGTATTGGCAGACAGGCCTTTAGAGAGGTGAACAAGTCAAAATCAGGCTGTTAGGGTGAGTTCTACTCCAATCTGACTGGTGTCCTTAATAAGAAGAGAAATTTGGAGACAGGAAGAGATACCAAGGATGTGTATACACAGGGAAGAGACAGTGTGAGAACGCAGCAAAAAGGCAGTCATCTGCAAGCCAAGGAGAGGGACCTCAGGATCAAACTTGCCGACACCTTGATCTTGGATTTCCAGACTTCTGAGCTGTAAGAAAGTAAATTTCTGTTGTTTAAATCATTCAGTCGTGGCATTTTGTTGGCCCTAGCAGACTAATATATTCATCAAGATTTTAAATGTCTGCTTATTGAGGAAAAATGTATATATAAAGTAACAGAATGGGAAAAATATTTGTCCTCCATGTATACATCTACCTTGTGATTCAAGAGTTACATTTCTAGATATTTTCCTAAGAAAAATGAAAAATATATGTCCACAAAAAGATCTGTATGAGAATGTTCATAACAGCTCCAAATGGGAAATAACCTAAATGTTCATGAAGAGAAGACTGGACTAATACATTGTGATGTAATTCTCACAACAGAATAGTATTTAGAAAAGAATGAACTGCTGATACATATAATATGGGTGAATCTCAGAAACATGGATTTTGAGAAATGAAGTCTGATACAAAACAGAACATGGTACATGACGCCATGTATGTGAAGTTGGAGAACAGGAAAATTCTTCCTGGGGAGAGGAAATAAGAAAGTGGTGACCTCTAGCAGGGAGAGATGGAACTTAACTGGAAAGGGGACGAGATAATTTTGCAAGGTGATGAAGCCAGTCTGTGTTTGATTTTGATTGGTGGCTCAGGGGTATTTGCCAGACTGGTGGAGCTAAATACCTTAAAGTCTTTTTTTATTTTATGTAAATTATGCCTCAACTTAAGAGTAAAAATAAGAGTATTTGATGGTCCCTTTTCAGTCAGGCTCTCTCTGTGCAGATCAGAGTGGGGATCCACACGGGACCAGTCTTGGCAGGTGTCGTGGGGGACAAGATGCCACGGTACTGCTTGTTTGGAGACACTGTGAACACAGCCTCTCAGATGGAAAGTCATGGGCTTCCCAGCAAAGTGCATCTCAGCCCCACGACCTACAGGTGACCACTTATTCATGCCTCTCTTTGCCCCCTTCTTCTCCCAGAAGGTACAGAGTGTCTCTCAGCCATCAGATGAGGGCAGTATACTTCCAGCCACGCTTACAGAGGACCTTGTGGCAGACAATTAATACTGTTGAGCCTCTACCATGAGATAATTCTTCCTCTCAAAGAACATGTGGTCCAGTTCAGGAACTGACCAATTATAGTCATGGGCTGTTATCTCAGCCATTGCTTGTTTTTGTAAATAAAGTTTTATTGAAACCCTGGGATCTTTATGTGCATCTTATCCATGGCTACATTCATGCTACCACAGCAGCGCTGAGTTGTTGTGACAGAGACTGTGGTCCCTAAAGCTGAAAATATTTCCTATCTGGTCTTTTATGAAGAAATAAAGTTTGCTGACCCCTGGTATAGTGCAGGAAGAAAGAAATATTCACAGATAATTATTTTTCTTAAAGTGTGAGAAGTGCAGTGGTCACGATATACATGAAACAATACTTACAGTTTGCTGAGAACTTGTTAAAGGCCACATTCTCTAAGTTCGTCAACATAAGTAAGCAAGTAAGTATTAGTCGCTCAGTCGTGCCTGACTCTTTGTGACCCCATGGACTGCAGCCCATGAGGCTCCTGTATCCATGAGATTTTCCAGGCAGGGATACTGGAGTGGGTTGCCATTTCCTTCTTCAGGGGATCTTCCCGACCCAGGGATCGAAGCCAGGGCTCCTGCGTGGCAGACAAATTCTTTACCGGTTGAACTACAAGGGAAGCCCTCATCAATAGATGTTAGTCCATTTACTGTTGCAACAACCTGATGAAGATCTACTATTATTGTTCTCATCTACAGATGAGAAAAAAAAATCAGGCACAAAGAGGTAATTTACTCGCTTCAGGTGACAAGTTGGCTAGGAAGGAAATGGCCTGGATAGAACCCAGGGAGTCAGCTTTAACCGTCCATCCCCATGCATTCCCAATGAGAATAATTCCCATTCCCATTTGGGAATTATTGTGTGTGTTGTGGAGAAGGGAGTTTCCCAAGCTGGGTCTTCCACAAGGAGTTCCAGAGCAGAGTTTAGCCTGAACTGGGATATTGGAGTGAATATCCAGCAGTACAAACACAGATGTAGAGTAAGGACAGAGAGCTATAAATGATTTAGCTTTGCTGGGGTGGAAGCTGTGAGGCAAGTGGGGAGAGCTGTGTGCCTCCCTGAGGGGCAGGGCTCACACCGAAGGTGAAGAGTGTGAACCCCCAAGGAGTTTGAGCTTGGGCACGAAGGCAAGGTCAGGGTCCCGCTTGGCCCTGACCCACTCACGGCCATGTGAGGGCAGATTTGAGCATCAGGAGATGGGAAAGACACGATTTGTTAGGAGTTTGGTTTGACCCAGAACATTCGTTGGTAGGAATCCGAGGATAAAATCAATTACGTTTGGTAATTGCTAGAAATGGGGGGTGAGAAAGAGGGAGGAGCCTTGACTGTCTCCCAGGTCTCCATCCTGGGCAACTAGGGCCTGAATCTCATCATCTGAGATGCGACAAGGGAGAGGGATTCCAGTCCAGGAGGCAGACGATGAGCTCAGGTTTGGAAGCATTGAATAAAAGGAACTAGGAAGCATCTAGAGAGAGGTGGCATTAACTCGCTGGGTGAGATTTGGAATCGGGCTGTTGGTTGGGGAACCCGACTTGGAGTAATAACACAGAGGTGGTAATTAAACCATGAGAGTTGGTGAGATCACCTGCAGAGGGATGCCCTGTGAGGAAGGACAGTGGGAAGAACTAACATTTCACTGGCAGATGGAGGAAGGAGTCATGGAAAAGGCAGGAGAAGCAGAGAATTCAGGAAGAGAAGCACCCTTCTGGCTCTTCTTATGGAGGAAGAATGGAACAAAAATATCAACTATAATTGGGTTTCCCTGGTGGCTCTCTGATGGATTCCATGGCAAGGAGTAAAAAATAGTCAGAGGTTTGGGAACATTATCAGAAGTAACTGTGGTCAATGGGGGGCAGGGGAATGAATAGACGCTGGATTGTGGGTTGAAGGATAAAAGAAACGAGCATTTGTATGGCATTAAAGCAGAAGATGAACAAGTAAGAAGATTTTTACTTCTATTTAGGGTAGAAGAGACCTTAGCAAGCTTGTTAGGCTTAGGGGAGGAGGCAAATGGAGAGGGAGCTGAAGATCAAAGAGGTGGTCCCGGGGCTGGGCCTTGAGGAGGTGGGAATGAATCTTGGGTGGGTGCCCTTCAACAAGATACTTCAACCTCTGAAGTTGGGGGAAAGGGCAGGTCAATGTCGATGGGATGAGAAGGTGCAGGGTCTCAGCTCTAAATGTTCCAGTTTGTGGATGGATCAGGTCACAAAGTGGGCTTTGCTGGTGGCTCGGTGGTAAGGAATCTGCCTGCAATGCAGGAGACACAGGTTTGATCCCTGGGTTGGGAAGATCCCCTGGAGGAGGGCACGGCAACCCACTCCTATATTCTTGCCTGGAGAATCCCCATGGACAGAGGAGCCTGGTGGGCTACAGTCCATAGAGTTGCAAAGAGTCAGACCCGACTGAGCAACTAAACAGCAAGTCCCGCAGTAGGATGCACCTTCAGCAGCATGTGGGCGAGGAGCTCAGGTGCCTAATGAGGGGATGTGAGGAGCCTGGTGAAGGTCTGAAATCTCCACGAAACCAGCCAGATCCAAGGACACGGGAAGACTGATGAGTGATGAACCCTGGCCGAGGCAGCTGACCGTGAAATGGACGCGATGTCAGTCTGCACTGGTCTGTGGTATGTCTCAGCATCTCTCTGCGGCCAGTAAATGTATAAACACGTGCAGTTTCCTAGTCACCCTGCAGCCCTGTCCCTTTGCACAGGCCCTTCCCAGTTCACTTCTTCTTGGGTCTCAGGCTGCTCCTCGCACATCACCCTGCCCAAAGTAGCCCAATCTCCAGTCACAGCTCTGTGACCTGGGGCATTTTTATTTTTTTCTCTCCTCTGTGCAGAGCCCTGAAGAATCAAGGGTTTGAAATAACCGAGCGGGGTGAAATCGAAGTGAAAGGGAAAGGGAAGATGACCACATACTTTCTGATCCGAAACCTGAAGGCCTCAGAGGATGAGATCATGGGGAAACCTCAGGCTCAGCTTGATTCCGAGGGTAAGCAAGAAAGAGAAGCCTCATCAATACTCCTATTGGATGTTTTTTCCACTAACAACTTCGGCTCTGTTTAGTGGGCTCCCTGGTGGTCAGTGGTGAAGAACTCTCCTGCAGGAGATGCAGGTTTGATCCCTGGGCCAGAAGGATCCCCTGAAGAAGGGAATGGCAGTCCACTCCAGTGTTCTTGCCTGGTGAATCCCATGGACAGAGGAGCCTGGCAGGCTACAGTCTATGGGGTCACAAAGAGTCACATGACTTAGCAACTGAACAACAGCAACAAACGTATTTGAGGGCCAGCCTGGGTACCATCCTGCCCACCCCCAGGCTATGACCATCTACTCAGTCACAGCCCCTGACGGGTATATGACCTGTGTGCCTGAATCCTCTCTTACATCCTGGATGTTAAGGTGTTTCTCAAGCTGGGCTGACGCACCCAGCCTAAAGGGTCCCTCATGCATTCATTTTCAAGGCTCTTCCCTGTCTAAGAAAGGGGCATTCCCCCTCAGCCTCTCCTGCAGCTGGGGGAGGATTTCAGAGCCTCCCTCTGCTCCTCAGCCTCCAGGGAGGCTCCAGACAGGCTTTCTCTTCACACACTGGAAGGTTCCACCTTCCCCATTGTCTGCTGGGCTTCCAAAACTGGGAAGAAAGATAAAATCTGTGACTCACCTGGTCCCAGGAATGGCAAGAAACAGGAAGACTGGGATCCCTCAGGAAAGACCCCATGCTGACACTGCTCCTCAGTGTCTGGGGGGGACTCAAGAATGTGGCCCCTGGACCTCCAGGGGCTGAGGGAGTTCCCCCTACATGGCCAGATAGGGTTGGACTAGAGGCGTCCCCAGTGTGCAGTGGAGGAGGGGTCTGGGCACTCTCTGTGTCCTGTGTTTGTGTGTAGGGGGGGTCCCCAGGGGCTCAAAGAAAGGCCCCATCTTGACGCATACTCACAGCCTTTCCTCTCATACCTTTTTGGCAGAAGCAAGTGATCAGGGAAGTCGGGACGGCAAGACTCTGGCTGTCATGAGGTACGAGGACAGCTGGCAGCTGCCCAAGGGTGACACGGCCTGTGGTGAGTACCCCAGATGGCTGCAGACCCCCAGACCACGCTGGGCCAGAGGCCTGACTCCCGGGGGAGGGGAGAGGGCCGGAGAGGGGCCCCTGGGTGGGATGCTTCGGATGGTTGTTCTCTGAGTCTTGAGTAAGGTTTTCTCCATGCTCCCCACCCCAACACCACCTCCCCATCCCAAGTGTCCCAAGTAGGGGCCCCCTCCTTCTGAAAGGGCCCTCGCTGCCCTCCTCCAAAAGAAGCTGTAATACTCAGAAAAACTTATTAGTCCCCATGAACCCACAAAATGAGGTTTCTCCGGACGTGGTGCCCTCCACATAAGTCAGGTGATATGTCAGTCACATGGCTAATCCCCTAAGAGGTGGGAAGCTTGAATTTCAGAATGGTTATCTGATTTATCGAAGGTTCCACAACCAGTGAGTGGGTGAAGCTGGACTTGCCCCTCAGGCTGTCTGTCTGGTGCAGACCATGGGCGCCCTCCTGGAGGAACAGACACAGTCAAGGCCCCCAACTGTAGGCAGCTACACTTAGACTTCTTGGCTTCAGGACAGGCATGTTTCTGTCTGATCCTCTGGGCCCCATGTGAATGGATTTCCGATTGTTGGGTGTGACTAGCGGAGGTGTGGACAAGGACTGGCGCCCATGCTGTGGGTGAATGGGAAACGGTGCCATGTGAGCCAGAGGCTCGGAGAAATGAAGACCAAGCCTTCGGGGCTGTGGGCCTCCCTCGAGCCACCTAAACCCAGACCTACTGAATTCCATGGAAAGTACTTTGAACAGCTTCTGCAGGCACTCTGAGTTCAAGTTCACCAGGCTTCTTCCTTGTCTCTGATGGTGGTTGGTGTTGATCAGTCGCTAAGCCAATTTTTTGCAACCCCTGCAGCATGCGAGGTTCCCCTGTCCTTCACTATTTGAGCTTGCTCAAATTCATAGAGTCGGTGATGGCATCCACCCCTCTCATCCTCTGTCATCCCCTTCTCCTCCTGCCTTCAATCTTTCCCAGCATCAGGGTCTTTTCCAGTGAATCGGCTCCTCCCATCAGGTGGCCAAAGTTTTGGCGCTTCAGCATCAGTCCTTCCAGTGAATATTCAGGTTGATTTCCTTTAGGATGGACTGGTTTGATCTCTTTGCTGTTCAAGGAATTCTCAAAAGTCTTCTTCAGCACCACAGTTCGAAAGCATAGTCATCTCGGAGGGTTGGCAGGAGACAAAAAAAATTCAAAGGCCTCGTGTCCCTTGCCCCCAGGGCCTGCCTTTCCCTTTTCATCCTGGTGGAGGTCACAGTTCTCCTGGGTTCCCGCTATACCTGATAACATCCTGCTTAGCTCTGAGGTGGGCGAGGGCTGCCCCCCGCCCAGTTCCAGCCCCGGTCTCCTCTGTGGGCGTCATCACGGGGAAGGGCTCCTGTCAGGAGCCACCCGTCTGTCAGGACTCCCTCTGGAGGTCAGGCTGTTGGGCCTCGCTCCCTCAGAGACCCCTCTGTTCCCCAAACTCAGGACCCCCACAGTCGAGGCTCTCCTCACCAGTCACATCTGCGGTCAGCCTCACCAGGTTGTCACCTGCGTGTCAAATGTGGGACAGCTCGCCAGTGGCTCACATTTCCCTCGCTCTGGGCTCCGAGCCCCCTGCCCCCCTCTCCCCTGTGAAAACCCTGGCTCCTAAAGACCCTCTCGGGGCCTGGTCACCCGCCCCGGAGCTGCAGGGGTGAAGAGCTGCCCCCCCCAGAGTAGCTGAGAGGTGACACCCGCCCACCCCCAGCCACCTCTACAGATGGGGCCCTTGGTGACCCCCTGGGGTTGGGGGTGTGGGGCAGTCAGTGCAGGAGATGCTTCAGCAGGACCCAGGCTGCACCCAGGACCTCATTTCCTCATTTGCACGTCAATGACACGCTTTTTTTCTCCCTCCCGCTCAGTATTTGGGTGTTAGATGCGTCAGTGGAGAGACTCCCCAGAGCAATTAAACGGGAGTATTGAGCCGGAGAGAAAATCTTGTGTATTTGACTCAGAGATTTAAGCAACCACCTTTCAGTATTGACTGAAAAATTGGCCTTCCAGCTGCCCCTGCTGGCAGGCTCTTCTGGCATCCCTTCAGACCCCTGTTAATGTGTTTTTCAAATTTCAGCTTGCTTCAACTTGTCTCCAAGCTGATTCTCCCGGCGATTATTATAATGGGTTCCAGGCTGACCTGCATACGGCGCTCAGGCAGGGAGCCCAGGCTCCCCCATAAATCATGGGCTGAGGGTGTCCACTCGCCGGGTTCAGGGCAGGTTAAGTCAGCTCCGAGGACTTCTTACACCAATTCCTAATTGTCCTGGAGACTTGAGTGCTGAAGGTCTCTCTCCTGACTGAGCTCTTAGCAGTCTGCCTTCTGGGGAGTCTGCCCTCACATTTAACATACTCCTTCCCAACGGGAAGAACTTTCCACCATATGCAAATCCCCCACCCTGCGTGGGTAAGTTCTTGGATGGGTTTGTGGCCACTTAATTGCCAGGGTCTTTGCCCCTGGCTTTACAAAGTCTTGAGAACACAAGGGTCTTTCCCAGACCTGTCCCACGAGCGGAGGTCCAACTGGTTTGTAGCCATGCTGATGAACCTGGGCCCTTATTATTGGCTCCAAAGCTTTTCAGCAGCTTTTCTGAGGCCTTCATAAGCATGGCTGTCACCTTCTGACCCCTTCTGCTGGGGACTGATGAACAGGCATGGTAATTTTTAACCTCAGGCTTTCTGGAAGTTGAGCTGTTAACCCAGCAATGTTCTAAAGAAGGAAGATCCTGGGAGGTGTAAATGAACTGGCTCCCAGGTCAGGGCTAGCCTGTAAAGTCACTGGGTGTCAGCTTTGGTGTCACAGACGGGGTGCAGCGTCAGAGCTGGGGGTGGGGGGAGGCTGTTGGTGTGGGGGGGTGCGTCAGAGTCACATGTGGTTGACAATGTAGGTGGCAGGGCCTCACACCGAGTGTCTCCGCAGGTCCAGAGCAGGGTGTGTCCCATCCTGGTTTCTCTATCTCCCCAGGGCAGTCGGATGAGCTGCCGGGCTCCAGAGCCACTGTTATAGTGGCAAGAGCATTAGCCCCTAATCAGAATTCCCAGGTCTGCTCCCAGTAACTAGCTGGGTGGCTTTGGGCCACCCTTTGTGCTTCATTTTTCTCATCTGGAGAGCAGGTGTGATAGAATGCTTGCTTTAAGAGGTTGAGGTTGCTTTGAGGAACATGTGAGATGCTGTGTATCATCTGAAAGCTGTAAAGTGCTAAAAAATAAAAAGGTCAAGGATGCCAATTCTTCATCACTTAGGGACTCTATTGTTGAGAATCCTTTCACTTAACAAATAGGTGAGTCTTGGCACAAAACTGTAAGAAGTACTACAGGGGTCAAAAAAAGAGGACTGGTCTGCCATACACAGGGAGCTTTAGATCAGAGGGTGTAGCAGAGCCCCATGGAAGTCAGGACCACCGCCCAGCGCAAGGTGTTACAGGGCCAACAGCAAGTACAGGAGGGCTGAGTCACACTGAGGACCTGAGGGCCTCTTGGGGAGGTGTGAGCTTCCCTGGTCGCTCAGATGGCAAAGAATCTGCCTGCAATGCAAGAGACCCAGGTTGGATCCCTGGGGTAGAAAGATCCCCTGGAGAAGGGAATGGCGACCCACTCCAATATTCTTGCCTGGAGAACTCCATGGACAGAGGAGCCTGGCGGGCTACAGCCCATGGGGTTGCAAAGAGTTGGATACGACCGAGCGACTGTCACAACGACGACAACATAGGGGAGGTGCAGATGAGGGCAGGCAAGGGCAGAGCAAGGACGGGGCCTCTGTTCTGACCCCTGGAGAATGCAGGGGCTTCCGGAAGCTGGGGATGTCGTCCCTCCAGGCCATGCTCTTTTTTGCTCATGGACAGATGTAGGAAGCAATGGGGTGGGCGATCCTAGAATGGTAACGCCTGCTCTAAATGTGGAAGCTCCATCAAGCCCTTTTTACGAACGGGGTAAAATTCCCTCACCGATGGTGTCTCCCTCCACAAATATTCCCAGAACCCGTGGCTCCTTTTTCTGTTAACATCTATGAACACTATGGTGTGGTCAGCTTGCCCTTTCCTCAGAGCAGGTCAGTCTCTTGGAACATTAACCCTGATGGAACCAAGGTGGAGGAGATGACATGCCCCCCACAGGTGGAGACCATAGAGAATAAAAGCCAGGGTGGGAGGAACCGGTGGGACAGGATGGCCAGCAAGCATCCCTGTGCTGGGAAGGACCAGGACAGGGTCCTGGGGAGACCCGCTGGTGTCTAAGTTCAGGCTCAAGCCAACCTCCCTCTCCTCAGTGGGGGAGAATCAGTATTGAAACCAAGATGTGGTTTCCCATATCTGATTCTGTCTAGGAAGTTAGAAACAGATGCAGAAATGCAGACAAGGAATTGTTTTCATTGCAAATGTAAGAATCCCTTCTTGTGACCCCTAGATAATCATATCCTTTATGACCTTAGAGCCCTGCCTGTAACAACCAGGCGATGACCCGTGTATACTCCCCAAGACAGCGGCAGTCCCCCAAACTCCACCTCGCTATCACTTCCGCACCGCCCTCCCCAGCCAAGTCCACGTTTAACAACATGGCTCATGTGATGGTCGTTTTCTGAACAGGAAGGTTTCTTCTGCTACCACTCTTCTCATTTAATCCATTCTTAATCTACATTGAAATGGGTTTCTGTGTTGCCTTTATTTATCAGGCCATGTTGGTTTGGTCAACTAAGGTTATTTGTTTATTCATTTACATTATAGAAGGAATATTTTAACTATTATCTTTTATAACTAGAAAGTACAGCTAAAACAAAAGAAGAAAACAAAAGCCTCTCTAATTCCATCACCCAGAGAGACTATTGTTAAAATTTTGGTGGCTATTTTCCCAGACTTGAGTGCATGAGGGTATGTGTATATGTGTGTACATATATACTTTTTCTTACAGTCCTGGGATTATCACACAGAGATTGTTTTGTAAATTGGCAGGCCATGAATTTCTTTCCTTTGAACACTTATACATTTCAAAATATTTCGAATTTTATATATATATATATATAAATAATGTGCTCAAAATGGTGCATGTATTTTTGCTCCCTGATGCTACACACCAAAAGCTACATTTACTTTATATCCAATGGAAACCCCAATTATCTTGTTCTTCTGCCGATCTGCAGCACTTCTGTGATGACCTTGATATTCCGTGAGTCCTGAAGTTGCCTCTCAGTTTTCCAATTGCTGCAGGAAGAGGGACCCCTTCCAGGGCCCCAAACTGGGCTCTTGTCTAACACTCGGAAATGAATTGTCTGAGGAGACACATTTGCTGACAAAGCAAGAGACTTTATTGGGAAAGGGCACCTGGGTGGAGAGCAGGAGGGTAAGGGAACCCAGGAGAACTGCTCTGTCACATGGCTTGCAGTCTCGGGTTTTATGGTGATGGGATTAGTTTCCAGGTTGTCTTTAGCCAATCATTCTCACTCAGAGTCCTTCCTGGTGGAAGGACTTGTTCGGCCAACATGGATGCCAGAGAGAAGGATTCTGGGAGGTGGTTGGACAGGTGGTTTTTCCTTTTGACCTTTCCCGAACTCTTCTGGTTGGTGGAGGCTTATTAGTTCCCTGTTCCTTATCAGGACCTCCTGTCATAAAACAATTCATGCAAATGGTTACTATGGTGCCTGGCCAGGGTGGGTGGTTTCAGTCAGTGTGGTTCCCCTAACACAAGGACTCACCTAGTTCATTTAGGTTTGGTATTTAGATTAGAAAATGCACACTGTAATTCTCAATTAGTCAGAACACGAAATTAATCAGGATGCTGCATTTCCTAGCTGTGCACAATAATGAGCATTCAGCTGTGGCGACAGAGGCAGTCCTTGAGGACCATGAGCAATGGTCTCGTGGGAACAAAGGATGATGGCTGAGAATTTATCTCAAGTAAACAAGGAAATTCTTCCACCATCCAGACTGTGGGATTGGGGTAAAATGTCAAATACATATGCGTAGAGATGCTAAGAGATGCAATGCTGTGCTGACCAATTCTCATTTGAAATTGTCAGGCAGCATCATTCGAATTGGGCCTGTTTAGCTTTCAATAGGCAGTCTCAGCTCTTTCTCCAACACAGTCCTAGTTTGTTGTTTTCATCTCACTAATGATCAAGGAACTTTTCCTCCAGAAGAGAAATGAAGAGGGGAAAACAGGTTTCATAGGCATGGCAGGCAAATGGCAGTAGAAATGGAAAAGGAGGAGGAGGACCACAGTTAAGACACAAGTGAGAAAATGAGACACGTCCAAGTACAATGAGAGAAAACTGTGCTATGGATACAAGAAAAGGAAATCAGAAGTGAAAAGCTAAGTGGTACTTTTTTTTTTTGACAAGAGAAATTAGAAGGAAGGTGTTGCATCAAGTGGAGACTAAGAGGTCTGTAAATGTTATTTCCTAGTGTTGAGTTTACTTCCAAGATTTTCTGTGAGAGGTTAAGTCATAAAATAGATTATTATTCATCTTGGTTACAAAAGGAATCTTGGTGCCATCTCGATGCTGGAGCACCTGGGAAACACAGCCTGACTGCTAACAGGGAAAGAGTTTTCTTTGCTGTATTCCTCCCCCCCCCCCACCTCCTTTTTAAAAACAAACAACTCCAACTCCTTCTTGTTCAGCTTTTATCAGGGTAACCCCTACTTTGAGTATAGTTACAAAGACACAGGACAAATACCTTCTGTGATCACAGTACTGTTTCGTGGAGATTTACTCTCGCAGGTTCTCATAACATTTCCCTGGGTGGAGTGGGAGACAATGTATGGTCTAGGATCCCATTACATCCGGAGAAGCTGAGGCACAGGGAGAGCTATATGGGGAGGGTTCAGCCTTTCCTGTTGCTGATGGGCAACCTGGAGGCCGTGCTACCCTTTCCTTAGTAGGGAAAAAAAAAAAAAAGACACTACAATTTCTGTCTGTAATCAGTTCCTTTTTTCCTTTATTTGCGATGATGCCCAAACAAAACTGAACTCAGCTTTTTCAAACACACTGTCCTTAACATTTATCCTGAATGTTTCCTTTTTTGAAAAATTCAATTCCTATTAAAATCATACTTGGGCTTACATGTCAAAGAAAAACAATACAGCAATCAACTCTGTAATTCAAAGTGAAAGGGATAAAGGCTATGTGGACTAATAAAACTAGCAGAGAATTAGCAAAAACAAAGCAAAAATCCCACCCCATATTGGAATAATTTATTTCCAAAGACCATAAAATACTGCGGAGCAGGAGTCAGTCTTTTTGCATGTGTGTGTGTTGGGGAGGGGGGAGGGGAGTGTGGAGTGGGCTGTACCACAATGCTCAAATGAACCTGTAGTTTATGACATCATCACTTAGCCAGCTCTGGTCTCAAGCCATATCTTATACAAATGCCGAGTTTGAGGGGTTTATGGACCTTATCAGGTTAGCCCCGGCTTCTGCAGGAGTTAAATACTCCATATGAATCATCACTCAGAGTTGCCCCAGTGACATGGTTCTAGATCTGCCAAATTCTCATCTTATCCTAAGCCTGAGCGAGCCTGGGGACATTTTTCCACGTGTGTGTCATCACTTATATTCATTAATGACTGGCCCATTAGCAAATGGAACTTGCTGTCTGATTGCTTTGTGCTGAAAACTGCCCATGGCTTTTAGAATCTAAAATCAGAGGTAATCACCGATCCAGACTGGGGAGGAAGGGAGACACTGACAGCCCCAGTGGTGAAGGAAGTCATTCATTCATCTGAGGATAAAAGGCTGGAGACAGAAGCCCCGCCTGCATTTCCTGATTTCTAGACTATTATAGCCTCAAATCAAATACAGGGGCCCCTCTGAACTTGAATGTCTCTGGAACAATGATGAGTGTAAAAAGAGAGAAAAATGGAAATGATGGATGACTTTAAAACCTTCAATGCGGATGTTTCCAAATGAAACTGCAGGGCGAGCAGGAGATGTGTCTCCACCCAGCCTCCTGGTCTCCATTCCTTCTGAGTCCCGCTCCCTCCCGCTCCTTGCTGAGGCTCACAGTCCCAGGTTCTTTCCCAGTACCTCCTCCATGGGCTCCTTCCCACACTTCCAAGTAAGAATTGGCATCCCTGAGTTTGTGCTCTGTGTGGGGCATGGTGCACTCACTTTATAGAAGGCATCTGATTGAATTAACACAACAACTCTGGGAGGAGGGTATAATTGCTGTTGTTCAGATGCTCAGTTGTGTCTGACTCTCTGCGACCCCATGGGCTGCAGCACACCAGGCTTCCCTGTCCTTCATTATCTCCCAGTTTGCTCAAACTCATGTCCATTGAGTCGGTGACGCCATCCAACCATCTCATCCTCTGTCGTCCCCTTCTCTTCCTGCCCTCAATCTTTCCCAGCATCAGGGTCTTTTCCAATGAGTCAGCTCTTTGCATCAGGTGGCCAAAGTATTGGAGCTTCATCTTCAGCATTTCCCTACTTTTCAGATGAGGACGAATGAGGCCGGGAGAGGGTAGTGATGAGCAGTGGCAGCCATGGCTCTGAACCCCGTGCACGGTGATGCTCAGGCCTCAGGTAGACAGTCATGGTGCAGCAGGTCTGGAGGCTTGGGGCTCTTGAGAGCTATGCACGAGTCAGGATTTGATAAGTGGCCAACAAAGTGATACAGTGTTAGACGAAAAATTGAGCAACAAGGCCGAGGTCTGAATGGACATTTCTGGCCTCACCGGGAAGGTGTTCTTGGCCCCAGGAGGTGGTATGGTAACCCCACGGTGCCCATACTGTACCCCAGGGCCCGGTGAAGACAGAACCCCCCTGACCGGGGATCAGTCCGCGGCTAACTGTTCAGCTCACTGCTCTGTCTCGTTTCAGCTGCTGACTGGTCAGCACCCAAAGGGAGTCCAGCGGAGGGACGGGCACCCAGGGAGGCAGCAGACAGACCTCGGCCTTCAGCTCAGACAGAGACACGTGGCCTTCCTGATGGGCCGCTGCCGTCTGGCCTCTGCGCTTTGTTGTGACAGCGAAACACGAACCCCTCGGCTCCATTTTTCCCCTGCTTGGTTTAATAGCGACAGAGAAAAGGAACTTCATTTCTCAGCCCAAGACGTCTTAAGCTGCGTCTCTTTCTCATTGTCCCTCAGAGAATAAAGGTCTAGAAATGAAACATGATCCCGACAAGTTTGGAAAAATGTGCTTTCACAGCCTCGGTTCAAAGCCAACCCCGACACTTGGAGACTTCAGGCTGTGTTTGTTCTCCCGGCTCTCATCACAGTGGTTCCACTGAGTCCTGGCCTTGGAGTCGACTTGAGAGGACGCCCTGGCCTCGGAGGTGGTCATGGGCACGGTCTTGTTCTAAGTGATGGCGGGAGCGGGGAGGATGAGGAAGGAGCCCTGGCCCCTGCTGTTGATAAATCACCCTGCAACACAGCTGGGATGTGAAAGGCACTCAGCCAGGGGTTGTGAAAGGAAATCACTTTCATTCCCAGCCCTGGGAATTACATGAAGCCACAGAATAAAAGCTGCCTTCCCCAGAGGTTTTTCTGAAAGTAAAAGGGAGGAGAAAATGTGAAAATCACCGGAAGGGCAGAGTCAGGATAGATATGGGGAAATAAGGCAGACGGCGGCCGGCCCACCAGGTCCCTTGTCCCTCCTCAGACTCAGCTTCCTCTGCTGCTTCTAGCTGCCGGCGTGGGGACACCTGGGTGGTGGTGAGTGCTGGACACGCTCTCGGAGGCCTGGGGTGCGGGAGCTGAGAAGTGGTCCAGGGGTCTCTGCATCTGCACTTGATTCTGGTGAAAAGACAAGTATTTTTTAACCCACATGACGAGCACCCAGAATTTTGCGATTCATTCTTGCCAGAACCTTACTTGTCCCCACAGGCATTAACTGTTTTCTGGGAGGGCAGACTTGATTTCTGTGGCTGCCAATCCCAGGAGCAGGAGGGGAAGAGAAGGCAACAAGAGCTGAATTCCTTGCTCTGCTGTCCTTCTAGATGACAGCGGTGTCTTATTTCTAGAAATATGGGGTGCGGCCCGTAGTCCACAGCGAGTCAGGATTAGACTGAATGCAGCCTTGAGAGATGTGGATTTTTGTCCAGACTCTGCTGCTGGCTGTCTTGATGCCTCAATTTCACCATCTGTAAAATGGGGTTAGGGACAGCTGCTACACCAAGCTCACATTGAAATGCAAGAGCACAAAGCTGCCCTTGATATTTACAAGATTAGTAACTAGTAACATGTATAGATCTTCCACCAAATGCTAGGCACTGGCCTTGCACATACGTGACTCGTTACTTCTGGTCTTGGCAACAATCCCATAATAAGCCAGGGTTTCCAGTTCCTGATTGACAGATGAGGAAGTCGTCTCCAGGAGACTCAGTAGCCCACAGTGCTGGCACTGGCTGATAGATTGAGTGGAACACATTCCAGTGTTATTATAAGGTTAAAAAGCCAGAACAGCCGGGATATGGACCCTGGAGCCAGGCAGAGCCCAGTTTGAATCCTTGCTCTACCATTTGGCAGCTGCGTGTGTTGGGGGAAAGTTGCTTAACATCTCTGTGCCTGAAGTTTCCATCTGTAAAATGGGAGGAATCAGAGGACCTGCATTGTAGGGGTGTCATGAGGATTCCATGACATACCCACAAAGTTACTGACATTTAGTTATCCCTCTGGTAAACGTTATTTTTTTAATGCTCCTCCTGTTAAGCGGTCTTCCGGCCCAAGTGGGGCCAAGGAGAGCTGGTCCACCTTGTGATGCCCGTGACTTTCCCCCCGGGCTTTCTTTTCAAAATCCTTCAGCCCAGTTGTGAGGGAGAGAAGCCCGCCTAGAACTCAGAATGTGGTTAGGTGGTAGCACTGCCCGAGAGATGAAGGGAAAAACGGCTGCTTGGTTGAGTAGTGGTTTTTTGTTTTGCTTTTGGAAGGAGAAAATCTGGAGCCTGTGGCCCCGGTTCCCAGCTGGCAGCTCACTTTGCCTGCTTGGCCCAGACAGACTATGCCAGCTAATGCTCAGCCTCACCGAAGGCTGCCAGAAATGGCGAAGCAGGTGTCCCGGCCCTGCTTGAAAACGGGGAGGATTTTGTTCCATGTTTATTATGATCAAGGTAATCTCCAGCTGTGACCGAATGACTACAGGCTGCATTTGGCCTTCTCCTGGAGCCCACTATTTATTCTTTGGAGTGAACACTGGTGGAGACAAACTTCGGGTGCCCAGGAAACCTCGCCAGGCTGCCCGGGGGGGCACCTTTTCGGGAGCCCTTGGTACCAGGCTGGGTGTGTGTGCACACTTGCTCAGAGGGCACATTAGATTAGCTGGCGGCACGCCTGCACCCGCTGGCCTCTGCCAGGGCTGTGTGCGGGCACCAATATCTGGTGGCCCGCCTCGTGGCCAGCAGTCCAAGGTCTGAGCAGCAAATGCTCCGCTCAGCCGGGGAGGTGGAGTGACTCTGGAGGCACCCCCTCCCACACCCACAACCTGTGAAAGGTTCCTTTCCCCCAGTAACTCTGTCTGGTTTTCCAGCCCCTTTCCCAGGATGCCATGGACTGGAATCCCAGACCTCTGGTCCAGCTCTCGACCTCGTCCGGCTGGTCAAGGACTATTACAAAGCCTGGCCTCCAGCCCTCGGAGAGAGGTGGATATGAGGGCATGGCAACCCACACCGATCTTCTTGCCCTGGACAGAGGAGCCTGGCTAGTGGGCTACAGTCCAGAGAGTTGCAGAGTCAGATATGACTGAAGTGACTTTGCAAAAATTTGAAAACACCATCCACTGTCCTTCCAAGGGAGCATGCAGCTTAATCCCACTGCTTCTTAACCCACCTCCAGCCTCTTACACACCACGCCCCTGTGGACAAGTTGGTGGACGTGTGCAGAGGGGCTAACAACGTGCCAGGGGTCTCTCCCGCCTCCTGGTCCTCCTTCAGCGTGGCTGACCCCTCCCATGGACATCTGAGCCTGCCTTTCCGATGCCCCGGCCTGGCCAGGGAGCTTGCACCTCACCCTCCTCTGGGCTCTGACCAGCTTATTCTTTAATGCAACCCAACCACCTCCCCCACTCCACCCCCGCCCTCTTCTTTTTTCATCCCTTCTTCTTTTCCAACTTTCCTTCAGCTTGAGTTGTGTGTGAGAGAAAGAAGGCGAATCGTGTGCCTGGCTGAGGCGTGAGATCATTTTTCTCTCCTCTTAGCACGCTCGCTGTCTGCTGGTCAGGGTTACTGGAAGAAGGCGGGAAAGATCCGTTTCCACAGAGAGCCATCTGGCTCCACCAGACTCACGCTGATGCTAATCTGCTGGTTTCTTTTTCTTTAGTCTTTTCTTTTCTTGTTGTTGTTCCCAAGGCACACTTCATCTGCAGCTGTAAACTCAGACCTGGTCCATCTGAAGGCGAGCATTCATCTGGTGCACATTTGTTATGGCATCAGGCCCCCACCCTCACACCCCTGTCCCCTTGTAGGTGTCGGGACATCATTGTGATCATTGGTGGGTCTATGCGGTGGTAACGTCAGGGCTGTACTTTCAAATGGAAATCAGGCAATTACGCTGCACACACAGAAATCTGACAGATGCAGGGGTTTTACACCACTGGCTGTGTCATGGGGACAAAGGCAGCCTGCGCTCCCAGGGGATGGTTAAATAAGCAGAATATGTTTCAAGAGCGCAGAGAAATCCAGGAATAATTAACTGTGTGATGAGAGTTCATGGATCCCGTGGCGGTTTAGCTTCAAAACGTGATAATGATATGTCAGTGAACCACTTAACTCATCCTTGTAAAGGCGCCATCAGCCCACCCGTCACATGTGCAATTGAAACAGAGGTGCTGCTCTGCACATCTGTTTTCCAGCTTCCAAGTGCAAAGCCTCGCAGTAGTTTCTCTTGTTTGGCTTCCCCTGCACAGAGGGCTGTAGTGGGCTTAAGGAGAAGAGGGGCTGGCCATGGCCTGGTGTCTACCTGGTGTCAGCTTCTGGTCAATGGTCAGCGTTAAACACAGGCACTTATGCAGGACACTATGGTGGTGATATCATTGTGGCGGCTACTGGGCCAGTAATTGTTACTTGCTGGGCACCAGTACGATCCTGTGTGTGTGAGGTTGGCCCACGATTACCCACATTTTACAGATGGGGAAATGGGTACAGAGTTAAGAACTGGGCTTCAGGTCTGGCCCTGCCCGACTCTGGTCTTAGCACTTGGCCAGTGGTTTGTACCTTCCTAACACATCAGACACACAATAGCTCGTGCACCCTTAGAAAGCACCTAAGTCACATGCATAGAGTTGGAGTGACTCACTCCAGTATTCTTTCTCGGAGAATCCTAGGGACAGATGAGCCTGGCGGACTATAGTCCACGGGATTGCAAAGAGTCGGACACGACAGAGTGACTAAGACACACACACACACACACACACACACACAGGAGAGACCTAAAAAAAAAAATTGAAGTTGAATTTTCCCTCTAAAATATCCAGCTGTTTAAACAAATGGTTAGTTTGGAGCCTGAAACATGCTGTGAGATTTACTGCTCAATGTGTCCCAAACTGGATTGGAATGAACCATATTACCAAAAAGTCAGGTGTCCCCAAATCCTGGCCATTGTTCTTCAGTGTCCTGGAGGAAAAAACTCAGAGCAGGCTTTGGTCTGAGGCTCTGGACTTCACAGCCTGTGAGTTCCCCCACTACGTCATGGCCTTAGACTAGGCTAGGCTGATGCCAACTGGAACTGAGAAAAAGGAAAGACATTTTATCTTCTGTAAAAGGCATTTTATAAACTAAGCATAGGATAAAATAAATAAAATAGGTTTATGTGGGAATCTCTAATGCTTTCTCAGATCAACAAATGCTAATGAGGTCCCAAGATAGAATATATCAATTAAACAAAGAAGGGCATGTCCAGAAACGCCCACTAGTTTGCCAGCGACTAATAAACACCAGTCCAATCATGACTTGTTTTATCTTATTCAAGGGTAGAAAAACTTTTAAGGAGATCCGAAATCATTTAGAGCATTAGCTTTGTCAGGAAAAAATTTC